GCTTTCCCACTCACTGAGCAGACACTGCATTTCCATGCTCAGGGAGCGCCCTCCCTACCGACCTCAGCTTTAGCTGCAAGTACTTCCGGAGACTCCCATCAAACCTAACACTTGAAAGGGAAAACCTCCCAATACCGGGCTCCTGACAAGTTTAGTAAAAGCTTTAGGGTTTTGCAAATGGCCTGAGTTACCCCAAAGCGTAAAAACTTTGACATTCAAGCCTAATCCCCATGTAGTTACGAACATTTGATGCTCAGGCACAAGACGCCGATTTGATTCCCAGAGTGTTTACAAGCACTATAGCTCCCTCCAGTCCCAGGGGATCGAATGCCCTCTTCTGTCCTCTCACAGACCAGACACACATTCAGGCAAAACACTCATACATATAAAATACATCTGAAGAACAGCTAAACAAAGCAAGGCGTGGTGGCACACAAGGCAGAGGCAGGCAGATCTCTGTGAGTTTGAGGCCAGCCTGGTCTACAAAGCAAGTCCAGGACAGCCAAGGCTACACAGAGAAACCCTGTCCTGAAAAACAAAAACAAAGACAAACAAACAAACAAACAGCTAGGCATGGTTGCCACACACTTGTAATTCCAGAACTCCAAAGGCAGAGACAGGGGAGGGGTTTCTGTGAGTACTAGGCCAACACTGGTCTACAATTAAAGTCCCAGGATGGCCAGAACTATGTAACAAAACAAACCTGACTCAAAAAAGGTAGGGCAGGGGAGGCTGTGAATAAGCAGCATGTAACCGAAACTAGGAAATGCTCACATGATAAAAAGGGAAAGAGCAGCATATGGTAAGACTCGGCACCCTCAGGCCAATTAGGCTGGCTGCCTGACCTGGACCAAGCGCATAGCGGCAGCAGGCCACTCAAGGATGGAGCCTCACAAGCACTCTGGCCAAGCTCACCATCGTGAGGGCTCCTCAGTGTGATCTCAACTCAGGCAGGCAGGGGGTAGGAGGATGGACAAACAGACAGACAGATACATTAAGAATGCACCACAGTGCAGCTCCACTGCCATGAGAGAAACACATGGCCGGAAGCGACTTGAGAGAAGGGTCTGCCTCGGCCTGACACCTCTCCCGTCACTCCCTCCCCCGAGAGTCAGCACAGCCACTATGCAGGCTGGAAGTAGAGCAGAGGCCAGGGGCAGAGGCTGCCTTATAGGCTTGCACCCCATGGCTTGCTCCCCTGCTTTCATGAAGCACCCAGGAAGCTCAGGACAGAAGACCCCGTCTTGCTGGGGTGGGGGTGTAAGCTGGGGGCAGGGGTGCTCTAAACTACCTCACATGTTCTCTTGGGGGGAGTTATGTGTGTGTTGACAGGCATACAGTCAACTTCAGGTGTCTTCTCCAGTTTTGGAGATAGGGCTCTCACTGACTCAGTGAGGCGGGTGGAAAATGAGCTCCAGAACCCCGTCTCCCCCTCCCCGAGCGAGGAGTGCAGCGCGTGCCGCCAGGCTATCTTCTCACACCGGGATCGGGAATCCAAACTCAGGTCCTCACACCTGCACAGCAAGCGCTTTGCCAAATGAGCCGACTCAATACAATTTTTTCAAGTGACTAGCACGTCACTATTAACATACCTTAAAGAAAAAAAAAGCTATTTAGATTAAAAACAAAACAAACAAACAAAAAAAAAAAACATTAAAACAAAGAGTAGGACCAACTATCAAAAGGAACAAGTTTTCCCAAATACTGGTCTACAGGATGAGAGTATAAATAAAAATATAAAGGGGGGGTTTAATCTAACACACTGACGAAATGCTGGCCTTGCAGGCTCCTTCCTGCAGAAGGCATTCTAACATGCATAAGGACTCTGAGAAGAGTTTGCTTCCTCCCCGCCCCCAAATCTAATTCTTTCTTTGTTTCTTCATTTATCTGCTTTCCTGACAGAGTTTCTCTGTGTAGCCCAGGCAGTCCTGAAACACAGAGATCCACCTGCCTCCACCTCCCGGGATTAAAGGCGTGCGCCGCCATGCTCGGCTCCCAAATGTGGTTACCTGCAGGACCTCAAGGTCACAATGCTGCCGCTGTCTGTGCAGTGTTTAAGTGAGAAGAAGGGTGTGTTGCAGAGACAACCAGGAGACAGTGCCTGAGTCTGGAGCTGGCAGTCAGGGAGAACCCAGGAAACAAAGCGGCACTGGAGGTGAGGGCTGGTGACTCAGCAGGAGAAGAACCTGCTGCCCTGAATTCAATCCCCAGGACCCATACTGAAGCAAAGACAAAACTGACTCCCACAGTGTCCTTCACACTGAAGCACACACAAGTAAGTAGGAAATGTAGTAAAAACTTTTATAAGCATTTATTTAGTGTACATTCATGCCCACTGCCAGACTTAGCCACTGAGACACTGCACTAACCCTAGACAGGTTTTTATACCGTGTCAGCTGAAGCCATCACTGAGAACACAATTAGCCTGAGATTATGCTGTTTTTGCTATAGGTGCCTTGGATTCAATAGGTAAATGGTAAAATGTTATGACATACACCCAAACCTTGACTTAGGTCCTTACACGCTCACCCCTTGCTCTAAAAAAATGTAACTCTAGAGAATTAAATACCAAGAATTCTTAGAGGCATGGCACCTATTACTGTCCTTGTTACCAAAACAAGTGTTAAGCAAACAAATGTTTACATATAGTCTTCCAAAACTCAAAGGAAACTCTGAATTTATTAATTCCAAGTCCTACTTCCATTTAACACAACAAAAGAAGCCTAGAGTTTAGCCAGTAATGAGCAGCCAGCCGACACACAGGTGTGCTGGGGACAGTCGGTTTGATACTGGCTCCCCGCCTTCTCCTCTTCCTCCCACCTTCACAGGAGTGTGACTGAGAACAGCAAGTACACAGCCTACATGCAGCGCACTACATGATCTTTACGTGACGTCCAATACCAAGACATGCCATAAACAAAAATCAAGGAAGTCCTGTCCCTTCACATGGTTAGCACCAAAACCACAGCATGGGAAAGTAAGCTCCTGCTCCATTTAACCAACACAGCCAGGCCAGTGCCACGGGCAGAGGAAGAGCAGCAGAGCATTCCCAGTAAATACTTGTCAACACTGCAGCCATCAGTCTCACGGAGAAACTCCATATAACCTTGTATGTATTGCGTCACCTAAAGTACAAACACACGTGTGTTATAATATAAGAGGAGGCGCTGGAGAGATGGCTCAGTGATTAAGAGCACTGTCTGCCCTTCCAAAGGACCCAGGTTCAAGTCCCAGCACCCACATGGCAGCTTTCAACTGTCTGTAACTTTAGTTCCGGGGAATCTGACACCCTCACAACACATACAGGCAGTCAGAACATCAATGTACATAAAATAGTAATAATAATAACAGGAAAGTACCAATATTAACTGATCAGGGAGTTGCTGATTTTACAATCAAAAAGAGCCAACTTTCAAACTGTGAATGAGAACTATCCCACCAATGTACACATACATTATGAAGAGCTTTCTTGATTTTTTTCTTTCATAAGGCAACAATTGATAAGTTACAAAAAGCCAAAGGACTGGTTTGTATCACAAATCTAAGTCCACAGAACTTTCTTCTATTGCAACACTATTTAGGCAACTCTTTAAAAACACTTACTCTCCAACTATTTAATTCCACTGAGACCATAAAGTTTTTAAGAGAAACAGCTACTTAGGAACACACTGCACCTTTGGTTATAAACAAATTTACAAACGAAAACCTCTTGAAAGACAATGTCCCCAACCAGTAAGTGGCAGATAACTCAGAAACAACTAGAAGCTACTTCCTACTGACCTCCACTGCAGTACTGACAGCATCCCCAGAACACTGGCTAACACACCCCCAACTGCTCCATGCTCATGTGACAAGTACCACAGGGGGATGAGTAGCCACTGACTTAAACAGCTACCACCAGACCCTGAGGAATAGCGGGTCCCTCGTGCGAAATACATGGTAATTTAGTTTCCCATGCTATTTAACTTACAAATGTTATATTCAAATACTTTCTGTCACAGAAAAATAACATATATCTAAAAATCTTATTATAAAAAAAAAAAGAAAAGTGTATTTTAAAAAAATCTGGGTCACAAAAAATAAAAACCACCAACAGTGGACTGGGGGAGGGACATGGGGGGGCAGGATTGGGAGGGGACAAGGAAGGGGGCTACAGCTGGGACACAAAGTGAATAAACTGTAATAATTTTTAAAATCACCAGCAGCTATACTAATGAGCCTCACTGGATACTAGACACCTACTCAAGATTTATTTTCCAGCTAAAAAGTCATTTTCAAATACTGGTTTATAACATAATCATAAAAATTCAAATCTGCCAGTAAAGGTTAACCCTGTCTAACAAAATGTCTCCCATCTACCTGATTTACCACAGTTAGTCACATTTTACCCACTTTTTTACAGCCCCACTCTCTCTTCAATACCATGAAGATCCCCTCAATCAACTATGAAGTAAGTAAAAACATCCTTTGAGACAACTTCATGCTGTTTTCATCAATAAATTCAGATAACATAAAGATAAAAGAGTAGGGGAAACTATGAGAACACTGGAAGAGAAGGAACAGGAAGTACAAAACAAACTCCCAGACCACACCTGCCCAAGGAAGCACACACACAAGTTTATGCCAACAACTCTCACCTTTACTTGTCAATCTTACTGAAATTATCTTAACATCCACTCCCATGGAAGATTTGCTGTGTTCTCACAGAATACAAAAAGGCTTATATTTAACTATAAAAGTAGAGGTTATTAGTTTTTAAAACAAATGTTTCCATTTAAAAGCATGAGCCAACCTTTAAGAGCTCAGCTACTCTGAATCATTCTCTCGTCACTATCACTGAGAGACTGAGAGATGCAGAGGCACTTTCAGCCCCTCCCACCTCTGCACTTCCTGACTAGGAATCCCCCACTGATGCGCTCAGATGCCCCGCCCTCCGAATCCAGTTACTCCCCACATTGGCTTACAGTCATAGCTCTACTGTATGTCAAAACTTGAGTCACCTGTATGCATCGTCTTCTTTCAAGTCTCATATCATCCTGATGGGGTGGGGGGAGGGAGGGAAGAGTCCAGCGGCAAAACTATAACACTGTGTGAAGAAAAACAAATTACGGTAAGATATGATGATGCAAGACAATTACCCCTAATTGAGTTGTATCTAATATAACTACAACCCCCAAAACACATATAAAGTTATTTCAAATTTGTCAAGTTAAGCTGCTAACATTTATACTTATTTGAATAATTTCTATTCATTTAGAGAATATAGAAAACATACATAATCATTTATCATGAAAAGAAAAAAGTTTTAAAATGTGCCTATGACCAATTAAAACTTCAGGCTTTTCTAGGCATCAAGCAAGCACAAGTACTGTCCAGTTTTACATAATTTATCTAAGGAAAATAAAGTGGTTTTCTGAACTTGTACAATATGCACAAATGGTAAGAATTTTCGTCCACTTTTCATAGTGACTATCACAGCACAGAGCTGCCTGTAGGAAAGACAATGTGTCAATCTACCAATATTATCTGTAGATTAAGGTCAGAGACATTTTCACACGTAGTATTCTGTCCATAGACCCCAAGCCCTGCTCTCCAAGTGTTAATCTTCTAATAGCCGCTTCTATTTCTTGCTTCCAGTGGTAATTCAATGACTGTCATGAGGACAATCTCATGACAGTAACAAAAGAGAAGCAAAGGCAAACAGGATGACATGTAACTTACAAAAACATTATTTAAGTGACACTGTGAAATTTAGTGACTACCCCAGGGGAAGCACAGCTGCTTATTTTGGCCAAGTTCTCAAGCTGAATGGATGAATGGATGGACGGATGAATGAATGAATGAATGAGCGAGCAAGAAAGCAAGCAAAACCTATTGATTCCTAAGATGGCTGGACTTGTATGCTAACCTTCAAAGTCATTTTCAAATATAAGTTATTTTCTAATGATCTTTATTTTATGTGCACTTGTGTTTTGCCTGTTTGACTATATGATCTCTTTGAACTTGAGTTACAGACAGTTGTGAGCCGCCATTAGGGTGCTAGAAACTGAACCCAGGTCTTCTTGAAGAGCAGCCAGTGCTCTCTCGCTCGCTCTCTCTCTCTCTCTCTCTCACACACACACACACACACACAAAGTATTTTAAAGAAAGTGAACCTCGCAGAAACAAACCAAGAAACACAAAAATATTGTTAGTCATAAGTATTATAGACTGTAAGAAAGAAAAGACAAATTTATCTACGCTAAATCTTCTAGGCAACTTGCTCTTTGTGCTGTCGGCATTCCCAATGCCTGTAACTCCCTCTACCTCACATGATGGCATCCTCCCAACCATGCCTCCATCATCCTTTCTCTAACTGTCAGTCTATACTCAAGTTACCAACCACAGGTCATGCTGAGGGAAGTCCATTTCAGGCAAAAAAAAAAAAAAAAAAAAAAAAGGAAGGAAAGGGAAGGAAAGGGAAAAGGGAAGGGAAGGGAAAGGGAAAAGGGAAAGGAAAAAGGAAAGGGAAAGGGAAAGGGAAAGGAAAAAAAGGAAAGGGAAAGGAAAAGGGAAGGAAAAAGGAAAGGGGAAAGAGAAGAAGGGGAAGGGAAAAGGAGAAGGGGAAAAAGGGAAAGGGGAACAGAAAGGAAAGGAAGAGGAGAGGAGAGGAGGGGAGGGGAGGGAGGGGAGGGGAGGGGAGGCAGCAAATCCAGACTGAAACAACTCATATCAATGACTGTACCTACCAACAAGTGCTGTTAATTAGCCTCATTACTTAGTACTAGAAAAGTCCAAGTAAGTAACGTCTCCATTTTTTATTACTGCCAAATATTTTGTTTTACACTTTTTTTCTAGCACTTTTGAACTTTCAGGTTAGAAGTCCAACTCTGCCCTGCTAACAGCAGTGACAGGAAACCACTACTGGGTGAGCAATGTGCCCCAGACAGGGGACAGACCGGGAACTCTACTTAAGGAGAAGCTGCCTGTTCTGGATCACCGTCTACATTCTTGACCCCCAACTAAAGGACTACCTTTTCAGGTGAGACACTGATGCTACGGAGAGACACCCTAGCCAAGTGCTCCAACTCTCACGACACAAGGCTACCTGGGTGGCTAGGTGCATGTGGTGGGGTGAGCAATAAAAGTAACCATCGCAATAGTTTTGCTTCTAAAAACAACTCAATCGGTGAAATTAAATACTTTTATTTTCATAGGTTTTTTTCCCCTCAATAATGGTCAGTCTTTAAATTCTAGCATGGACTACCAAGAGAAATTATTAGTTCAGTCTCTAGCCCTGAGCTATATATACAGCTATACTTGGCTCCTTACTTCCTACTGATTACCTGTACCATTTAAAATGCTATTTACAAACTGACCTGGTGACACTACTGCCTAAGCCCTTAGGAGACTGCATCACACTTGGTCTTAGGAATCTTTTGATTTTCTCATATTTTGTTTCTTTTTTGTTGTGTTGTTTTGTTTTGTTTTTCAAGACATGATTTCTCTGTGTAGTCCTGGGTGCCCTGGACTCTGCAGACTACACCCGGCTGGCTCATGCCTGCAATCCCAACACTCAGGGAGTGAGTTCAAGGCCAGCCTGGTCTATGAATCAAGGACAGCCAAGGCTACACAGAGAAACTCACCTCCCCCCACAAAAAAAAGCTGATAAAAAAAACTAGAGCATTATTCACTAGTGGTTTAAATATATAAAGGTAAAAACAAAATTCTGACACCTTTTCCAAGCACCATGCATTAATGAGTCCTCATCTGAAAAGCAGCCCTCCACAAAGGCTGATGTGTCCACACAGCACACAACTTGCCCTGGTCTCTGCAGCACCTAACCATCACATAGACAGAGGTTAGCACAATTAACACTACAAATCTGGACCTTGCGTTATTTTCCACAAATCTTCTAATAAACCCTCCCAATTGGCTTCAGGCAAGTTTGTCCCTCAGAAAGACAAACTTAAGAAACTGTTTTGTGGGCTGGAGAGATGGCCCAGTGGTTAAGAAACTGTTTTGTTTGGGGTTTTTGTTGTTGTTGTTGTTTTCAAGACAGGGTGTCTCTGTGTAGCCCTGTATGTCTTGGACTCACTTTGTAGACCAGGCTGGCCTCGAATTCCCAGAGACTTGCCTGCCTCTGCCTCCCAAGTGCTGGGATTACAGGTGGCCAAATAGGCTACCTCTGTAGTCTTGCTTCAAATAGGATTTTCTTTTTGAAGCGCCTTAAAACATGAGACAGTCATTTTCATAATTTCTGAAGAACATATATAGTCAATGTGTTCCTTTCCCCTCATAAATGGAGTCATTCACAACTGTGGAGAGGGACAGCAGATACTAATGAAAGACATGTACAGCACTACACAGGCGGAACCTGTCCTGGTTCTCAAAATCCTTTACTGCATCAGCTCCCTGTGCAAGGCTAGAACAGTCCGTGCCAATTCAACAACTAAGTTTAAGTGCGTCTCTGAAGCTAAGCTTGCAAACTACTTTTGAGGTGTCTGAGAGCAGTGAATGAACGGGCCTCCAGCTGGCCCTCCGACGGCTGTGCTCACGTGGTGTGCACAGGGAGCCACTGCACTAAGCTCTTGGACGCATGCCCCTCGCTGAGACTGGTGAGCAGCAGCACCCAGCTGCTGGTGTTCACAAAGACAAGGCCTGGCCGGCCAGCATGCACAGCAACAGTGACTGCAAGGAGCAGTGCGTGCTCTGGTGAGACCACACGGCAGGGGCCAGGGAGCTCAGCAGGACATGAGGCCTTCAGTATGTCACAATGGTTTGTAAGGACACCAAGCTACACAGTGGAAAACTCACAAAGGTAAGGCAGGCGGACAGGGCAGTGCGCTGGTGCCCCTCTGAGCCCAGGTCACCCGCCGCTCCACAGTAAGGCCTAGTCACAACAAAGCACATTTTAAAAATGTCCTCACACCAGGAGCTTCAAAGATTAACTAGACACGAGTATATTAAACTGAGTGCAAACACACTTTTTCTAGTGCTCTCTAACTGTTCTAGATATACTTCTCTAATTGTTTTATATATGTACTTCATAAGTAATTTTAGTCTATATGAAAAGACACAGCCAGGCACGGTGGCACACACCTGTAATCCCAGCACTCAGAGAAGCAGAGGCAGGCAGATCTCTTTGAGTTTGAGGGTAGCCTGATCTACAAAACGAGTCCAGGACAGCCAGGGCTACACAGAGAAACCCTGTCTCAAAAAACCAAAAAGAAAAAATATGACGTAGCTTTGAATTTAAAAGGACAATTTTGGTGGTTCCAAAGGTACCAAGTGAAAATATGCAAAAACCAGTTGAGTATAAAACATCTAAAGTTCGGGGCCAGAGAGCTGGCTCAGTTGCTAAGCACACTTGTTTTTACAGAGGATCTGGGTTCAGTTCCCAGCACGAAGCAGAGACTGACAGCCACCTGTTAACTAGAGTTCCAGGGGATCTGACCACCTCTGCTAACTTCCAATGGCTCTAAGCAGCATGTGGTACACATACATACATGTAGGCAAAACACACACCTAAAAATTAATAACTGTAAGAAAAGATCTACAACTTTTTTGTGAATTGAAGCTATGATTATTTAAACTTATACACTGTGACTAATAAACATTCATTCCTACAAGTTGGTGCTCATTTACACAACAGTTTAAGAAGTGGCAGAAGAAAATAAAGTCTTTTCCACGTAATTTTAGAGGTAAATTTCCCGAAATTATAATAGGTAAGTGATTAAAGAGGAAAAGAAATGTCACTGTTCTGATACTAAACACAGAAGAGAAAATAATCCATCTCTGATTCCCAGTAAGATGATCAAGTGGCATTATAGAAAAAGCAATTATACTAACAGGGACTTCAAGTAGAATCTCGGAAAAGAAGAACATTTATCAAAACCTCCAGAAAACATTCACAGGCTTTAAAACAAACAAACAAACAAACAAGCAAGCAAAGCCCAAGACCGCACACTGTGCTACCATGACAACGTTACTAATGAAACTGTGAGGAAAACACATTCCAGGACACACACTACACACCCACCGCTCGGCTCACGCGCTCAGTGAGGCCGGGATATTTAATCCCTACCAGGAGGCCGCCTCTCTTGA